CACCTCACGCAGAGGGTAGTCGGGTTGCGCTGCACCAGGGAGCTCCACCATCCTTTGAGTTGAAGGCCGCCTAGGAGAAGGTCAAATGATGAGTCCACAAGGGAGTTCGCCACCAGGGAGTTCGCCACCAGGGAGCTCGCCACCAGGGAGCTCACCACCAGGTAGTTCACCACCGGGCAGTTCGCCACCGGGCAGTTTGCCACCGGGCAGTTTGCCACCAGGCAGTTCGCCACCAGGGAGCTCGCCACCAGGCAGTTTGCCACCAGGCAGTTCGCAACTAGGCAGTTCGCCACCAGGCAGTTCTCCACCATGGAGTTCGCCACCAAGCAGTTCGTCACCAAGTAGCTCTCCACCAAGGAGCTCGCCACCAGGGAGTTCACCACCAAGTAGCTCATCACCAAGGCACGTCACCACCAGGTCAAATAATGAGGTACTTGGCCAAAAAAAATTATACATCACAAAAAATGGTACGTGACCAGAAACGGTTACATCAGGTTCAATTTTCAGTTTTTCATAATTACCCCTACCTGGAGGGTATATTCCCTACCCGCCTCAATGGGGTGGTTTTTTTGTTTGAAAGATGGATTTTGGGATGAGAATAGGTTCCAGGATTCTACAACCCGTTCAGGTACAAATAGGGCACGATGTTAGGATAAACATGACCCACTTTGACCTGTATATTGTTGAAAAACATATGAACTTTTATGTATTAGCTATGGAATTTAATACTATTTTGAATTTTATGGTAAGGATAATTTATATTTTATGTATTTTTTTACATGTCTAAATCAAATAATTAGAATTTTTGTTGTTAATGTTATTTTGTTTATTTATTGCTTATGTATAACAAAAAATAATAAGAAATTAGGTGCGAATTCTAAACACAACCTGCCTTACCCTTGAATGCGAGAAGGGTAAGGTCCGAAAAGAGGGTTAATCCAACCTGTTATGGATTTTGGGACAAATATAGGTTGAGAGGTGGGTACGATTTAGAATTTACAATACATTATTTTAACTTTAGGCCCTGTTTTATATGTTTTACCTTTTATAATCCACCTTTTTGGATTTTTTTCCTTTAATTTTAAGCATAATAAGAATGCTTATCTTGAATAGATATTGTGCATATATATATATATACATATTTATGTATGCATATATGTATCCATACATGTAATTATATGGCCCCGTTTGTTCGTCGATATTAGCAAGGGCTAAGTTAATCAAATGGGCAATTTACCACAATCCCTGCATTTTGTATATTGCTATATTGGGTCCCATAGTAAGTCAAGACATTAAAGAGTATCAATTACCTAGGTCCCCAATATCCTCATGGGAGGTGGGTAAGTAACTTATCGGCATGACTAACATACTATTTTTCCCACCTCTCTCTTTACCTAGATAACGTTGGAACCTCTCTCTTTACATGGAAGGTGTATTTGTACAAGAAGTTGGAAACCTCACTTACATGGGGCAAGTAAAACCTGGGAAACACTTGTCCAAATAAATATGATTACCTAGGTAAGTGAAATCAAATGGAGCCTATATGTGTAAAGTCACATAGGAGTTGGACCACCTAAGGGGTATACTTCAGCCTGGTCCAAATAAAAAATACTGATTTTGGGCTCAAACCTAACCTGAGGATGAAAAATCTAACCCATCCCATATAAAAATTGTAGAATGGGTTAATCCAGCCTTCCAAGTTTTATTTATTTATTTATTTATTTTTTTGCTACTAATGAAGTGAGAGTATTATCTGTAGACTAAGACTCCAAGCAGCTAGCGTATGAACAAATTTATTTAACGGCCTACGGATACCTTTTAAAAAGGATAAGACCATGTGAGTCAGCCAAGATCCTCGCATCCACCACCAAGTGCCTAAATTACACCCTTAAGCTATGAAAAGTCATAAGTCTAGATTATTGACAACACGTTATTTTAACCAGAGGCCCCATTTGGCATCACTTTCTAGAAAATAATGAATTCTAGATTTTTTTGGTTTTAAAAAATTACTATATAGGTGTTTGGCATAAAGCTTTGCTTCTTATTTCTCATAATTAGAATGCCGTTTGGCATGATTTTTTTTTATTAATTCTCTAATAGCCTAACAAACAATGAATAGACTTCTTTAGTTTTTTTTTTTTATAAGAATAAACTTTGGGGCTTGCTCTTATCCAAAGTTCCAAACTTCTTCACCCATCAACATCAACACTTTCAATTGGTAGGATCCAAGGCAACTGGTAAGTAGTTCAAGTAATACACCATAGAAGACAATTTATGTAAACAATTTACTATCCCAATGATCTCTTAAGCATAGGATCATCACCATCATCACCTCCCTTTCATGTAAACCTGTAAATGGGTTAGTATGGAGTTGAAAGTTGAGTGATAAATGAACTTTTGAAGACAAACTGTGATTGGAGAGTAACAAGGTAGTAGAAAGCCGAGCATCTATAGACAAAGCACTTGAATCATTATCCATAGCATTTGGAAATATTCATCACATACAAAACAAAGTTATAATTCCACTTCGACTGATGATCAATTTAACAGAAAAAAAAAAGTATTAAAATGATTTTTTTAATAACAAAGGGACTACTAAATAAAATTAGGGTTCCATAAAACAAAAATGAACACGATAAAACTGTAAAAGGCAAAGGCTCAGGGATCAAAACTGACTCTACATACCCATTATTAGATGTGCGTTGTACAGCCAAAACTAGACAAGTTGGAAGCGATTGATGCAAAAAATTCACCATATTGCTTCTCATCCTTAGAAGCAATATTATTGGTACGGAGCTTGGTGCTAGGAGTGCGGGAGAAGCTAAAACTGATACTATTAAATTGGAAAAATGAGTGCAGTTGGCCAGAAGACCCAGAACTTGGAGACCGAATATGCTCCTCACACAGGGCGCCTAGGCACATCCCACCGTGAATAATAACATATATAAGTATGGGAGATATTCCCAATGCATGGTGAGATGTGAATGTGAGGTCGGTGTGAGATGCCCTGTATAAAGAGCAGATCCCAATTCCAAAACTTGGTGGTGGCAAGTTGAATGGTTGCCCAAGCAGAGGACAAACATGGTTTTGAGCCATTGAAGGGGAATAGTAGAAGAGAGACATTCAAATGATAGGGGTTTGGCCTTTTTTTTTTTTTCTGTGAATGTTTTAATTTCATGTGAAATTATAATAATACACATCTTATCATATGGAACACAACGAGAATTGGGATTCCAAGAATCCTCATACTTAGAAAAAGAAAACCACTTATGAGAAACACACTCCATGCCCATTTTTTCTCTATAGAATTGAATGAGATTTTGATAAATAAAACGATTAAACACCATTCTCATCCAGAGGATCGTAAGAATCAAAATAATTGATTGAAGTGATGTCAAACTTTGGTCATTGTAAAGCCACATCCAGCTCTCTAAACAAACCTCTTCTAGTAGAGGGTGGCCCCTTTGGGGAGCAGAAGGCTGGATTGGAGATTCAGCTAAACTGGTTCAGCTGCTTTGAGGTGTTTTAAATAAGCCATAAGAGATTTAAAACTTACGGTCATTCTAAGTTTCAAACTACTGACCGATAGCTGATTTGTGTTCTCTAGTTTATAGGCTATTTGTATGGGGAGCACCTCACAAAGGCAAAAGTTGCAACTAGGTTGCAATTGAATCAAACTCTAATTGAATAGCTTGGGTTCGAGTTCAATTAGGCTTAGTTTAAGTTTGATTTTAATCGAGTTTGAATCTTGAAGTAAAATCAATTAGTTATTCGAATATGAGCTTAATTAATAAAATGTTCAGCTTAAAAAGCTCATGAGCCTAGCTCAAATATAGTATATATCTATAAAATATAAAAATGTTTTCATTTTTAGAGCTTTTGAGCCAAATTTAAGCTCATCAAATATTTATTTGAGCCAAACTTGAACCAAGGACTAGAATTCGAATCAAGTTCAAAATCAAATTTGAGCTTAATAGTATTTTAGTCAAACCAAATCAAGACAGAGAGAAATTCGGCTCAGCTTAACTCGATTGCACCCCTAATTGCTGCACTTCAACCCTCCCAAACCGGCACTAATTGCAGCACTTCGACCCTCCCAAATTGGCACTAGTTTGTTCAAACCAGCAGAACCAAATAAGTTAAACCCTCACCTTTAATGGCAGTCAATAATATTATCTAATCTTATATGCTGGAGATCGGCTTCAGTACTTACAAGACCGTATACCATTCACACAACTTTTTTATGTCGTACATTAAGAATATCTCTGTATTAATATACATGAGAATATATTCTCAATACAAGGCTGCAATGAACTGTGCAAACTGTATGAACAAAGTATTGTGAGCACTGTAGCCGATCACCATATGCTGTGACCTTGGTTGCAGTACTTCTTAGTGAGCATTGAAGCCGATCATCATATGGGCAGGCCACTGAACTGATGATTGATGAAAATAAGAGAACACGTGATGTTTTGAGTTTATTTACTTCACCTACGTGTCAGCGTTTCATTGAGAGGTCGCAAGTCGCAGCAGATGGCCTGATCCACATACGGGATTCGGTATCTCTGGCACAGCCGTCGAATAAATTTGGGTCTCTTTCCGAACGATATTGATATTAGATCTAATGATCCTATGGAATCATGCTGCTGCCAACACATTTCTGGTTTAATCAAGTTTCCGGCTCCGACCAAATAAATAGATCAGAGATTATTTTGGTAGACACGTGCGTCAATCGTAGTTTTAACATACAGCCATACAGGCTCAAGTGTTGACTTGTTTACTAGTCGGATCGCGCATCTAGAATTTAGAAAGCTGCCTGGGGAGCAATTATTTATTTATTTTTTACTCAAAGGTGTGACGTACAGCGCAAAAACGTGGCTAATGAATCACTGGTTGCTGAAGTTGTCCCTCCACATGGCTCGTTATATGTCCATTAGATCAGGAAGCCTACACGACTCGTGTAGGAAATGCAGAGTTATTCATTCCTCTCTCTCTCTCTCTCTCATACAATAAGAATTTAAGCATTTGTTCATTCCCAATTTCTTCCCCCCGATCAAATCGGCATCACAGTGGAAAAGGAAAACGAAAAACGGAAATTCCGTCTACAATCAAATTTCCCTCCAAACCCTCGATTTTCCAAAATCCTAACTTTTTTGTTGCTTCGACAACGATTAATTTTTGTTGCTTTGTGGTAAGTTCGATCCTTTTTTTCGTTAATGCATTTTTAACCTTACTGCTTTAGCTTACGTAATTCATCTGCCAATTCATGCGGCTTATTTTCTTCGTTTTGGTCTCAGTTTCCTTGTTTATATGTGATTTAGTGTTGCTACGTTTCATGCGGGGATTTAGCTGTTATTCTATATTTCTGATACTAATCTTCCAGAATCTTAGACTGCTGGTTGTTCATCTGGATCCCTAGCTTTTCCTCATATTGTTTGCGATTTATGTGATCATTCATTTTATATTTATTCATGATTCACGTCAGCACGTAGTTAATTAAAATACTCCGTTAGTGAAGCAGAAAATTGATTTGCATGTATCTATGTCTTTTTGATGTTTATATACATTTGAACTGATTTGTGTACGATCTACATGCTTTTCATGTAGCCATGAAGGAAGTTTCTATCTATTTATTTATTTGAGGTTTTGTATTCATGGGCTTGTTGTTTTCAGGTCCAAGGGAGAAATAAGTCCAGTAGGTACGATACGAACTATAAATAGATGTTCCATTCCCAGATAATAATAATATATTGTGGATCATGGTGAATAATAGTGGCGATTGCCACATCAGAAGAAGTGGAAGAAGAAGAAGTAGTAGAATACTTAATAATGTTTTAAAGCAATTTGTAGATCCTCAGAATTTATTTTCTAATTATTCCTGATTTTCACAGTACGTAATGAATTTCATACATAATTACTGAAGAAAAAAAAGATTGCAATTTTACTTTAGTATACATTTGAACCGATTTTACATGGTTGGCATACTTTGCATGCAGCCATTAAGGAAGTATTATCTATTTATTCTTGGAGGTTTTTTAGTCATTGTTTTATTGTTTTCGGGTTTCAGGAAAATTTGGTATGGGAAAAAAAATTAATTAACACTTTTAAGGTTGCTTTTAGTTTAATGTCAAGAAGTTTGGTTTGAAGGCATGATTGAATGCTTCTTGAAGATGGGTGAAACCTCCCACTAGGGTGCAATTGGCTAAGCTACCCTTGTGACCCAACCAAGCTGGAACTAACCTTGCCTTGTAGAATTTGTATGTTTCCTAAACCGAAGCGCATCTTACACAGGAATGCCAAATCAAATGTAAATATGTTTAAGAGTTCAAACCAATGGAATTTTGTCTTAGGAGATTCAAACCAGTGATTTGGCTAGCCAACTCAGGGACATCATCACTTAAGGTGAAATCCCAAAAGAGAAAAACTAGTCCATAATCAACCTAAGGACATCACTAATGGTGAAAGTCCTAGAGGGAATGATGGAGATAATATGTACAATGGAAGTCTCAAAAGAAAAGTGAAGAAGAGTAGAGACAGCATGGAATATGAATATATGATTTATTTTCCTCAACATTGCATGCTCTTGTACTCGGATCTCACTTCAAAATGGTAGCATTTTGGTAGCATCTCTCACCAAACTCTTCTATATATAGAGGTGAGAAACTTATATCATGAGTAGAAACTAGTGCACAATAGCTTTCAAGCTAGAAGCTCATGGCCCAATTAACTGTGCTCACAAAGTCCCCCGAATCCAAGAAGCCCATACCATGGTACCCGCATATTTACCTTAAGTCGAGGGCACGAGAGGTAACAGGGACCATGCAACTCAAGGAAGGTGGCATTGCATGGAATGCACATGGCCATGAGGTGACATGATATCACTACACCACTCACCATGTGATTTGGGTCATAGAGGCGTACCACCATGGACATGCCACTTTAGTCTACATGGTATGCCATCTGAAGTTTGGTCCAACACACCACATGAATTCATGAGTGAAGTGCAAAGTGTGCCTTAAGTGTCCTTGCACCCAAGGTTCAAAGTATTGCTACACATTAGTGCGATTGTACGATATGTATTGATTTTCAGGGTCACTGATACACTTTGTACATAGAGTTAGGCTATTTCAGTGGTTTTAAACAATAAAGGAGATCATATTAAAACCTCTGACAAAATTGTCAAATTAAAAAAAAAAAATAGTTTTGATTGATCAAAACTCTTGATGTGCAATTTTATCAAGAATATCAGTACTTTGGGCCTTGCTTGAGCCCAAGCCCTTGCTCGCACTTGGCATTCAAGTGCATGTACATGTGCAGGCCTACACTCACATGTACAAGCACAAGCAAAGTTACAAGGTTGGTCTTCTTAATAGCTGGAAAAGCTGTTTCTTTAAGTAGTGTGTAACTCTAGTAAGGCAAGGATATTGTCTCATAGGAATTTATTTCCTTTAAAGCAAGAGGTCAAAGCTTCAACTCTCAAGACCAACAAAACCTTTTAAAAAATTTAAAACATTTGAAATTTGTAATACCTAAACAATGCTTTCCACAATTTCCATCAAATAATGGTATATACTTTCCTTTTCAAAAGACTACACATAAATTGGTTATCATTCTCAGCAAGCTTGTCTAGATTTAAGATTATTTATTGCCTTGATTAAGTAATGCAAGTTGGTGATGATTTGATATGAAAAAAAAAGGTTTTCTCTATAATTAGCTAATGCATGCATGCCCTATATTATTTGCTTACTTTTCTTGTTTGAAAACATCCATCTCTAATAACCAAGATCGAGAATCTTGAATCGGCCATTGTTTTTTGGGTACTTTCCAAGCTACAACCACTTTGTAAGGAAGCTCTCATTGAGCTGGAAGCCCCAAGCTCCCCAAACTTCAATTCCTCATTTGCTTTTGCATCTTAAATCCTATTTGTCCGTTGTCCAACTGCTAATTTTATTACATAGGCATCTAAGTTCTAACTTTTTCTTTTATTAATCCATAGGCTTCTAACTTATAAGGCCACATATCCTTGCAATTTTGTTTATATAGCTACATCAATATGAGACTAGTTGAGGTCAAACTTGTACATCCTAGGGCCATCAGGGGTTGGTGGTGTGTTCAGAACAGAGGCAGGTTCAGTTATAGCTCTTTTTTCTGGACCAATTAGAGTTGGAGACTCGTTGAGAGCAGAGATTCAGGCCCTCCTGGAGGGGCTAAAAAGGGCTAAGGAGTTGAATATGGATAAGTTGATTATTGAAGGTGATTCGCAAGTGGTAATTGGTTGGATAGAGAAGGCAAACGACGGGTTACGGGCTTACATTAATGAAAAAAGACATTTCAAGTGGCTAACCCAAGGAATGGATGTGCGTGTCCAGTGGGTTAAAAGATGTGCTAATTCATTTGCCGATACTTTGGCCAAACAGGGGGTGGGAAGAAGTCATTTGTTTTGGGCTACCATGTAATCTTATTGTTGGGGGGTGGTAAGAGGGTTTACCTCCCCCCACCTTTGTATTTTAATTTTCTTATAATTTAATGAAAGTTTCTTGTTACTGATAAAAAATATTTAATTAGAATTGCTTATTATTTGTGTAGAGAACACTGATGTGGGCCCCACATCAGTGGTCCCCACTGTGTTCGTAGGACAGCATGTGTAGTTATTTGTTTTCAGTTATAGTAGTGTCAGTTTGGGTCAGTTTGTTAATTCAGCTGTTATTTATTTCAGTTTTTTTTTTTTATTTACTTTATTTATCATGTAAGTACTAAGGGCAGATCTGTCCTTTCCATTATGTACTGAACATAACCTATAAATGCTAAGAGAGTGGCGGCGGCAGATGTGTTAGAATCTATCCCTCCTTCCAACTCCTTGTGTTCTCCTGTTTCTCTTCTCTTCCTTCTCCTTTCCTCTCACCTTTCTTCTACTTTTGTAAACCTAAAATCTATTAGGATTCAAGACTGATTATAGTCTTGATCTTCTACTTGGTATCAAAGCCTATGTAGGGCTTCTCATGTGTGTCTAGTCCAGCCGACCACATGAGGACTAGCTAGGGCTGGAAGCCTATGAAGAAGTATTCGACGGCTGATTCTTGGAGATTACCAGGAGAGGTTCGCAGCAGTTGAGGACTTGCCGCATCTTGCAGAGAGTTGGTAATCAGGAAGAAACAGCATAGGTTAGGGTTCAGGTAACCCTGGAAGGCCGTAAACCGAAATCCATAAGTAAGTTTTTTATTTAGTTTCAGAGACTGYAATCAGTYGAGATAGGTTGGACCTATCTAGAAGGAGAGGCCGAACTGTTTTAAGTTTGTTTCTAGGGTTTGACTGTTGGGCCGAACCCCTCTTCTCTCAGAGGTGATCAGTCTTAGGGTTTCATATTGACCCTACGACAGGTCCCACTTGTACGGACTGCTTGGAGAGTGCAACTGAGCACTTATTTCAGGCCTACAGTTGAAACCCTAATTCTGCTCTCGCAGCAGTGGGCCCCACAACAGTGGTTTCAGAAAATAGCATCTCAGATTGCTCTTCTAGAGGATAAAAACTTGACAGACTGCCTGGTACTGTGCTTGCCGATTGATTTCAGAACAAATTTGAGTTGGTTCCTTGCATATACTGTGATAGCCGATTAATTTCAGATCAGATTTGTGTTGGTTTCGGATCAGATCAGATTTCAGACCAGATTTGTGTTGGTTTCAGATCAGATTTTAGACCTGCATTGATTTTACTCTGTTTTCTGGTGTGTAGTGGCTCTAACAGTTTGTAGCCACTGGTTCTTAACCAAAGATGGAGTTTAAAGGTCAGGGAGAAAGTAGTTTTGGAAACAACAGTTATGGTAGTGTATCTGAAATCGGGTTTCAGATTACAACTATGAGATTTGATGGGTCAAATTACTTGGA